AATCTTATTTTAAAATCCTATTTGGTTTCTAACACTGCCTGTGACTTGGAGGTTCAGGCTTGTCCTTCTTCATGTTTCTACACCATATCCATCATCTCAAACACCTACAACCTTCCATGACCTTCCATCATAATCTATTACTGCCCCACTTTTTTGAATCCTCCAATATTTTGGCCTCTTTTTCACCTAGGACATCTGTACTGTGTGCTATGGTCTCTCTGTGCACCTGTGTGTGTGAATATTTGGATAAGGGACTCCTGCATGACTGCCTTGAGTCACTGACTCACATGGAAAGGTGACTGAGATGCCACCATCGACTGATCGTGCGGCCAGGGTTCAAGACAGTCTGGGAGTAGCTCAAAAATTATATCAGGCACTACACAGGAGGTCCTCCTTGACCATGTGACCGACATGTCCTCCCTATTCTCCATAAATGGATACCCTTTGATCCCTGTGAAGTCCTGTCTCCATAAGATGAATACCCTTTTTTTTTTCCTGAGCCCTGCTTCTCCTGCCATTGTCCATAATCAATCATACTTGTTCACTATTAGTAAATAAATAGCAAAAGAGTTCTTCACTCAGGAGCAGTGTCTTGCCTTAAAAACCTGCTCCAGGACTCACCTCTCTGCTATCCCTGGGGACATGCTGGCATGTCCTTAACCACCAAAGTTGGCATCCAAACAGGGACATTCCAGAAAAGGGACTCTAGACTAAAGGAGCTGACTACAACTTTATGGAGTTATTACCTGTATTTTTTTACTGCCCATTTCCACAATATTCCTGTAAAAGTAGCAATCCCTACCCCACTATTCAGGATTTCCTCAGATACAGTTTTACATGTGAATGAAGACCAAAAGAAACAAATACTCACTTTGCATTAAATCTGTTATTTTTCCCACAATTCCAATTTGTGCCCCAGCATTATTTCAGTTTCCTAGGGGATTAACATCTAGGATGATGTAAAGACTACACCAACCATTCCAGGGAGATGTCTTTGCACATACAGTTGTTAAAACTAATGAATACTTTTTATTTTCAACACTATGACTCTGAGGTACAAAATATTGCATCTGGATGACCTAACCACAAGACCAATACAAGTTCTACAGAGCTACAAATTTGAAGATAATAGGATACCATTAGAGATGATGAATATAGGTCTTGAGATTCTTTTATGATTATAAGATAACTTGCATGTAAACTTTCTGGAAAATATTTTATAACTATGAAAATATAAGATTCAATAAGTGTAATTTCTCAAGGTTAAATATGCAAAAGTGTCCTTCAAAATGCAAATATTATCTTTTCCAGTTCCATCCATGTTGCCACAAATGGCATGAGTTTACCTTTTTGGTTGCTGAATAATATTCCATATTGTATATTTACCACATCTTCTTGATACAGTCATCTGTTTTGGGCATTTGGATTAATTCCATATCTTCCCTATTGTAAATAGGGAAGCAATAAGCATAGGGGTTGCATGTGTCCTTTTGAATTATTGTTTTTGTGTCCTTTGGGTAGATACCTAGAAGTAGAATTGCTGTATCATATGTATCCATCTTTAGCAGTTTGAGAAATCTACAACTTTCCATAGTGGTTGCATCATCAGTCAGTAAAGATAAACGCATGCCATCTGCAGCAACATGGGATAGAAGTGGAAAAAAAGCATACTTAGTGAAATAAGCAAGAAAAAAAAAGAAAAAAAATGACATTTCACTCATAGCAGGAGTGTAAGGGATCAGGAAAATATATATAGTAATATATAGTTATATATATAACATATAGCTATATATATATAGTAATTGTGATAAATACATACATTCATATATATATGTATGTATATATAGTAATTGCAATAAAGTAAAAAAGAATGTCAACTAACAACTATAAAACAGAGACATTGTACAGGGGGAAGAGAGGGGAACAAGATCAAAACTGGGGTGGGAAAATCACGCGGGACTGTGGTGATGGCACAGGGGTGAAGCGGTGGTGGGGAGTCCTCGGGAATTACAACTGAGATGGAAAAATGTGCAAAATGAAAAACAATGTAAAAGATGTATTTATAAAACAAATTTTAAAAAGAGAGAAAAGCCAAAAATACAAATATGGTCTCGGGGTTCAGAGTCCCCATCTCACTGTGTGAGCCTAAAGGGGCTCAGAGGACAGGACACTGAAGGCCTCGCTCTAGGGGGCTCCTGTGTGTCCAGAGAGAACAGAAAGGAAGGTGACAGCCTGCTGTTCCTCTCTACACACCATCAAAACACTTCAATGTTTTAAATATTTTCCTTTAATATTTTAAATCTTTTAAATAAGCAAAAATTTCCCTTTAATATTAGGGAAACTGACATGCGAATCCTGTCACATATTTAATCACATGTGCTGATGACTCCAGGGAATACACACCAGAACATCCCCACATAGTCATTCATAACCAATGCTATCTTCTCAGTTTCCTGTCCACAAGAGGGTCTTTTCTACCATCCTTAAGAATGTGTGTGTGTGTGTGTGTGTGTGTGTGTGTGTGAAGACACCTGTCAGCCATGAACTAAATGAGTAAGAATCAGTAACACGAACAGTGAAGCACTTACAGCTCATTATGAAGATCTATGTAATCCCCAGGGCAAAATAAAACATCAGCTGGGGTTAATACCAAAGATCCAGTCTTGAATTGAGATCCTCCTTTGAGTGGCTATACAGATCCCGTGATGGATGGATGTCTCTACAGCGATCACTGAAGTTTTTGGTGAAACAACGCGCACAGGAGTATATGCTAATGCCTGATAATAAATTCTAAATATGAAGATATACACATCTATATAGACGATATGGGTTGATATCACGTTGGCATTTCAGTGTCCAAAAGACTTCAAATGTCTCCTGTCATGACCTGGCAGAGCTAGCAACAAAGCACACCTGAATTACAACCTCCTAAACCTACCCCACTTTTTAAAATTTAAGTTTCTCTACAGGCCCACGCTCGTAAATGTCTCCTATATCCAGTTTCTATCTTTTGTCCAAGGTGCGAATTACAATTTACTAGTAAAATAGTTTACAATTAGATCTCACTCGTTGAATATATCTTTCTTTCAGAGCATGCTGAGTAAAACAGTAATTTAAATATGCTGTTAATTTGGGATATTGCTACATGTGTTCGAAGATTGGGGTCATGGTATATCTGAGAGAGAATGACAACAAAAATTAACTAAAGTCTTACACCTGCTTTGAAGTGATGCTAAGAGGGGATTTCAGGAAAACTGCTTTGGTGATAAATTCCTTAGTGGGAAAATAAAACAATAATCATTCAGGCACTTTGAAGGCAAAAGCAATGAGCTTTTCAATATTTTCCAAAATAGTAGTTTAAGGGAGGCATCCACCGAGTAAAGCAGCCCTCAGTAAAAGTCGGGCAAAATGGAGAGACAGCCCTGGGTTGTATAAATATGATTGCATCTATATAAATGTGCATTAAGTTACTAACAAAATCTGCCGATAACTACAGACTCTCCACTATAAAACAAAAGGAAATGTTGTTATTGCTTTAGATTAATATGTGAACAAACTGCGATCTTTTCCATGACTATCACATTTATTATACTGAAATGTTTTCATAAATAATGGTAAAAATAGATTAAAACTCATAAGTAATGCAGCACAAATATGAAGATAATGTTTACAGAGTCCGAGTGAACTCCCTTCCCGACAGAATCCCTGTAGTAACAGGGACTCAGAAATAGGAGGTGCCGGGTAGTGAGCGCCCCTCTTCCGGCGGCTGTTTTCTCTCTCTCTGGCTCTGGGCAGCAGGATCGGCGCTCACATTGCCCTGTGTTGTTTAAGACAGTTTCACAAATATCAGTAATTTCTGAGTCTAATAATTAGTAATTTCTGGTGACAGCCTCGGGAAGTTTCAAAAAGAAATAAATATGTGAAAACTGTATCTTTTAGTCTGTTTCCACAAGGAGAAACTTCCCTGTTATAGTTAACAGAATTTTCCTTCTACTACAGGGTGACTCTAGTAATAGCTAATCTGGTTAAGAACTATCAGATTCTTTGATTCATTTGGCCATTTCAGAGCCTTTTCCAGAGGAACTGCTTCTATGAGACTTCTCATCCTTCCAGATTTCTTCTCAAGAAGCAGTGCATTGGAATCATTTGAATGGCCAACGCTCAGCCACACTGGGAGGTGATGGTGAGAAAACAGCCAAGATATCAGAAACACCCACCACCACCCACGCACACTCCCCTCATGGGGCAGAAGTTTACAGAGCAGGATTAGGGGTGAGATCGGGGTATTTATTCCATTTATCTATAACAGTCTAGTCAGGGGAATCTAGTACTTGTGACCAGGAACATGATTCCCTTTACAAAGGCATGTTGGTTTCTCCAGCCTTCCTGTTTGCTTCAACTACCTAGACTGAAAATCATCTCATGTGCAAGTCAATTTTACAATAGGAGATGGCACCTTTACATCATATACAGTGGAGTATATGATGTATAAATGAAATACAATAGCACAAGATGTTAGCACTGAATACTCCTCAGAAAACTATCAGAGGTGAAGGTGGCAGGCATCTGAGAAGAGATCTCAGTTGAGGCGTGTTTTCTACAGTTAATGATGGTTTCACAGCATATATCGACTACACATTCCAGAAAACTAGCCTGAGGAGAAACTACTTTGATTTACTTTTCTACTGGTTTTGACTACCCAAAGACAACCTTGAAGCCCAGCCATTGAATGCCATGGAGTGCTTGCCAATGTGTGTTTTCTTGTATATATGTTATGGCTTCAGGTCTTCCCTCAAATCTTTATTCAATTGTTAGTATGCTGTATAGTATGACATAGTGGTCAAGGTCCATTCTGTGGGAAATGAAACTGTCCAGTACCCCAACATCCTTTGATAAGAGCACTTTGCTTTCCCCCTGGAATGCTCTTTGATCTTGAGTTGCATTACACAACCAAGCACATATGGGAGCACTACCCACTGCATGAATTCCACCCCCCTTCATCATGTCCTCTGTTTCTGCACTGCTCTGTAGAAGGCAGCCTTCATTTGAGCATTCCTCAGACTGTAGACAAGGGGGTTCAGCAGTGGGTTGAAGAGCACATAAAACAGGGTCAGGACTTTCTTCTGCTCATCTCTTTGACCATTGTCAGGGACCAGGTAAATCATCATGGCGATGCCAAAGTAGAACCCAACCACACAGAAGTGGGAGGAGCAGGTGGAGAAGGCCTTGCTGCGGCCCTCATTTGTCCTGATCCTCAGGATGGTCAAGAGGATGCGCGTGTAGGAGACCAGCACCAAGGACAGGGGCCCCACTAAGATAAATGAACCAGAAAAAAGAATATAAAGTTTGTTGATCCAAGTGTCCCCACAGGCCTCTTTGAGGACAGCCACAAGTTCACAGAAGATGAAATTCACCACCTGGGACTCACAGTAAGGCAATCTCAGAAAGAGAAGTAGATGTCCTAAGGCAAGAGAAAACCCACAAACCCAGGAAGTGATGGCCAGCACCGTGCACAGTCTCCAGCTCATGATGACCGTGTAGTGGAGAGGATGGCAGATGGCCACGTACCTGTCATAGGACATCACCATCAAAATCATGTACTCAGTACAACCAAAAGCCACATACAATAACAACTGTGCAGCACAAGAAGCATAGGAGATGGTTTTTTTGTGTTTCACTAGGTTTTCTAGCAATTTGGGCAGAGTGCTCGAAGCATAGGATATGTCAATGACGGCCAGATGCGAAAGGAAGAAGTACATGGGGGTGTGCAGCCTGACGTCCAGCCAGATGAGCCCCAAGATCATGCCGTTGGCCAGCAGGTTGGAGACATACAGCAGGGAGAAGACAGCGCAGAGAAGCACTTCCATGTCTGCGCTGAGGGGGAACCCCACCAGGATGAACTCTGGGGTCCAGGACTGGTTGTGCCCCATCCTGAATGGTAGCGGTTCTGGTCTCAAAAGTGATAGAAAATTGATAGAGCTGGAGGTCAATGAAAACTGGAATTATTTATCTTGAATGAGCTCAGAGGAAAGATATTGAATATCTAGACTTGACTGGGTATTTTCCCAGTTTGGGCTTTTTGGTGATAATCCCACTTTATGATGCAGTAACTAGACTTTCAGATGACAATAACTATAAACAACTACACTCAGTGCATGGCAGTATTTTCTATATTCATGTATTCTTTGTCATTTCTTCTCCCATGAGTGTATGAGTATATATACATGAGTACATATCCATGAGTGTAGATACAAATATCTTATATTTTATTAAACCAGATAGTTGCTGAAATAATTCCAATTTATCCCTTTGGTTTTTTTGAGAGAAATTCTATTATCTGTTCTCTGATTATCCAGCATGTAATGTAAACATAATTCACTATGGTAATGATATTAGTTTGTTACCCTAAGCTCCAAGCAATAATCTCTTGTCACATTTTATTTTCTAATATCAGACAACTAACCCTGAACCAGGATAATTCTGAATGTTACAGTCTTTGTTTTATACACTATCTCCTATCTTATGTCTTCCACTGATGATCCCTGTTGTTGCCAATAAAATAAACTTGATTTTAATTCACTTCATTGACACAAAGACAATGCTAATTTGTCCCACTTTTCTCAAAGTTAATATGGATTAGTAAACTGATGAGGTTCTTTGGAGAGACAGATCTCATTTTTAAGAAAAATGTATATTTATAACTCTAGACCTGTATGATTTAGCTTCTTAAATATAATATTGTTTTCTTCATATTTGCCTGGGATTCTTTTAAATTTATACATTACCATTTTACTCACCTTATTCATCTAGTGGACAAGGTGGTACGTAACTGATTGAGATTTATGGCATTAAGTTTTCAAAAATATCTTGGAAAATATGAAATTAAACAAAAGCCTATAGAGATATTGTATTACACAATATGTTGTGTGTATAAAATTATTTCCATATGACTGATTGTGGCAATTTTCAATAACTTGGATATGTAGTGATCATTCTATGTTGTACTTATATTTTCATATACACAATTAGTAAAATTTTATAAATAGTATTGTTTTAGTTATTTCATTTTAGATTCATGCATCTATTTTTCATAGCAATATATTTTCCTGACATATATTTCAATTGATGTATATTAGTGTTTGCATACTAACTTTTCATGGAGTTATGATATTACTTTCCACAAGGTTGTATGTCATATAATGGGAAAGTGACTAAATATAATGCATTTATTTTTTGTAAATTTTATTATTAAGGTAAATTCACAAATGGTATATCTTAGTCAATTCTATGTATTATTTATCTATATTCCCTCCTCCTTCATCACCAACCTCCAGCACCATCATCATGTTCAACCACGGCATCTTCTCACTTTATAAAAACAAACAAGCAAAATTCTAGGTACTTTGTAACGGTCATGAATCACCGTGGGGAGCATCCATAGTTTACCCATCAAAGCTGTATACCATCAAGCTCATCTTCCTATGGAGTTGCCCCCTTTAGCATCTCAGTTCTATTATTCTGATTGCAGATTTTAACATTATTTAGTCAAATTTGATATAAAATGTACCATTTTCAGTTCATTGGTACCACTGCTTCATATAAAATATCAAGAAAAATTAAGAATACTTAATGAAAAGTGACTTCACAAAGCTTGAGTATAAACCAATTATAATGTAAGTAGTTTCTCATTTACACATCAAATCCCAGTGTGCTTTCAAGCTTGAGTTATCTACCCTCCAGCCCAAAGGAGCTGACTATGAATTTGTGGAATGTTTACCTGTATTTTTTACTTTCAAGATGCAGATGATTCCATATAGAAGAGGCTACCCCACTTTATGGCTCAGGATTTCCTTACACAGAGACACCTTTTCACATATGAATGAAGACCAAAAGATACAAATACTAGCTTGGCATCAAATCTATTAATTTTCCTGCAATTCCAGTTTGTACCCCAGAGTTATTTCTGTGTTCAGGGTGATTAATAGAGAAGATGATATAAGGACTACCCCACCACTCAGGAGGGACATCTTAGCACATACAGTTGTGACAACCAAAGGATATGATGTATTTTCAACATCACAGCTTGGAAGTAAAAAATGTTGCAAATCGATATGACTTTCATCCGTAAGACTAACAAGTTTTGCAGAGCTACAAGTTCCGTGATAATAGATCAGTCCCTTAAAGAGATGATGAATATAGATTAATTCACAGGTATTGAGAGTCTTTCATACTCATAAAGGTCATTTGCAAATTTATTCTGGGAATTATTGTAAAATCTTGTGAAAATATCAGATTCAGTAAATGTAATTCCTCAAGGTTAAAAATGCATAAGGGGCCCTCCCTGGTGGCGCAGCGGGTTAAAGCACAGCAGTGAGAATCTGAAGCCGCTTCCGCATGAGTTCGACCCCCGCCTGCCCCGGAGGTGACCACATGGCGCAGCAGACCTCTCCTGACCCGTCCGCTGCTCCCCTCAGCAGTGTACTTCGTCGTCGATCTGCCTGTTCTGCTCCCCACTCTGTCTCTGGTGAGTCCTCTCACCCTCCGCATCTGTGGCCTGTACCCCAGTTCTATATGAATGAATAAATTTTTTTTTTAAAATGCATAAGGGTCCTTTAAAATTTGAGTGTGGTCACGTTATGGAGAGTCACTGTCTCACCGCGTGAGCCTGAAGGGGGCTCAGACGCAGGACACCAAGGGCCCCTCCCTGGGGGGCTTCTCTATGCACACAGACACCACAGAAAGGAAGACAGTCTCCCTGTTCCTTTCTAAACACCATCAAAAGACTTCAATATTCTTAATATTTTCCTTTAGCATTTTAGATTTTAAAATTCATTGGGTTTCCCTTTAATATTAGGAAAACTGTCATATAAAAAGCCTTCATGTGTTTAACCCTAGACCTGATGAGCCTGGGGGTGATACACACCAGGACATCCTCACAGAATCACTCATAACCATCTGCCTCAGCTCACAGTTTCCTGTCACCAGGAGGGTCTTTTTCTAGATTCTCTAGAATAGATAAACACAAGGAGGCCTGTCAGGCATAAGTTAAATGACTAAGTACAGACAACAAAAAGAGTAAAGGACTTACAGCTCACTTTAAAGATCCATGTAATTCCCCAGGGTAAAATAAAAAATGGGCTGGGGTTTGATACCAAAGATCCTTTCTTAGAACTGAGATGATCCCTTTAAGTGGTTATACAATTCGCGACTGAATGTTGTGTCTCTATGACAGTAGATGAAGTGGAGGTGAAAGGGCATTAGCACACACATTCAACAAGTGTGTACTAATGCATGAGTAGTAAATTCCTAGTATAAATCTTAATCTAAACACAGATATACATACATATGTACAGAGAGTTATAGGTAGATGTCACATTAGCATTTCAGTATCCCCCAGACTTTCAACTACCTCCTATCATCATCCAGCAGGGAAACAACACAGCACACCTGAGTCACAAGCGCCTAAACTTATTCCACGTTGATGAACTGAAGCTTCTCTACAGACTCACGCTCCATAATCAGCTTCTATCATTAGTTTCTATCTATTGTCCAAAGTGCAAATTATAACTTACTGGGAAAATAGTTCACAATTAGAATTTAATCACTGAACACCTCTTTCTTTCAGAAAATGCTGAGTAATAACGCAATTTAAATGTGATATATCTGGGGATATTGCTGAATATGCTTGAAGATCTGGGTGATATTATATGTGCTTATACTTGCTTTGAAGTGATGGTTATGAGGGAGTTTAAGGGAAATTACTTTGGTGATAAATTCCTTAGTAATAAAATAAAAATAACTGAACAAAGACCCCTGAAGGCATAGGCAATGACACTTGAAGATTTTCAAAACATTTGCATGAGGAAGGCACCGGTTAGAGGCAATGGCTGCTTAATGTCAGGAAAAAAATCATTTTTTCCACGGTCCTAAATTCTATAAATATCAGTGCATTTTGAAGGTTTATATAAATGTGCATTAAGCTGGTAACATTAAAATTTTCTACAACTCTATAATCTATATTATAGAGGCTATATTATAGATACAATTATAACTGTATTTCAATTGCAACTATATTATAGTTGCAATTTTTCTAAATTAGTTCATAGTCCAAACATACTCTGCAATCTTTTCCACTAACATCACAATCATTTTAAATATTTTCAAAAATAATCATGAAGACACATTAAAACTCGTAAGTAGTACAACATCAGAAATATTGACAATAATGTCAAGAGTACCTGAGTGAACTTCCCTCCTGACAGAATCCCTGCAGTGATAGAGGCTCAGAAATGGAGGGGGGTGGTGGGGAAGTGAGTCCCACTCTCAACCGGGGCTGGGCCTGGGCAGGGAGCTGCTCTCTCTCCAGCTCTGGGCAGTGGGATCAGGGATCAGCACTCACACTGACCTGTGTTGTAGGACAATTTCAAAAATATCAATAATTTCTGAGTGTAATGACTAGTAATTTCTGGTGACAACCTCAGGAAGTTTCAAAAAGAAATAGCTATGTGGCAATCATACCCTGTTAGGTGACTAATTTTCCTTTCAAACTGAAGGTACTCTATTAGCATGAGACTTGTGTTGGGCAATAAATGTACTTTGATTTCTTTGGTCATTTCAAAGCTTTATCCAGAGGAAATGCTTATATATGAGGCTTCTCATCCTCCCAGATCACAATAAATCACAATCATTGAATGACCAACACTCAACCAGATCTGGGGTAAAGGGGAAATCTGGAGAATTATTCTGTTTATCTGTACATGCAGTTGAATCAGGGGGGATCAGTATGTGACACCAGAAATGTGATTCCCTCTACAAAGCCATAACGGTTTTTCAGCTTCACGCTCTACTTCGACTTCCTAGAATGAAAATCATCTCATGTGCAAATAAATTGACTTTACATTAGGAGAGGACACCTCTGAGTCACATACAA